CATATATATATATATATATATATATATATATATATATATATAAATCGAATGAATGAGTGAATGAATGAATAAATGAGTCGAATAAATGAATGAGCGAATATACTAAATGGATGAGTGAATGGATGCATACACAAATGAACTAATAAATAAGGAATAAATGGATCGAATGAAATGAACGAATGAATAGATGGGAGAAATGAATGAGATAACCAAGGAGTGATGAATAAACGGTTTACTGGGTGGATTAATCGAACGGATAAGTGAATGAATACTTTGATAGATGGAATACATGGGAATCAATGAATGTGTCGAATAGATGACTGACTGAATGAATGAATGAATAGTTGAATGAGTGGGAATGATTGCATGAACGGATGATTGATAAATAAATGCGTGATTGATGAATGATAGAATGCACCAACAAATGACTAAATGAAATAGGTGACTGAATATATAGAAAAATCACTTGAATTGGAAGATAAATGCGGATGATGAAAAACTGATGTTGATTCTTAAACGTGGTAGGAATAAAAAATTAAAGTAAGCACCTCCAACATTTTGATTGTCTGACCATCAGCATTCCAAGCAGCTCCCAGCATTTCAGTTGCACCCTAGGATGCATCTTGGTCATTTCATAGTTCGCAGTTCTACTTCACTTACACCCTAATAGCATGTTGTACACAGTATTTGATGCAGTTTTCACCTTAAATATAGTGTTTCCTGGCAAAGCATGGTTTAGAACAGATATTCGGAGATCTGCTTCCGGATCAGCAGGTGTTGTCTGCTGTTGCTGCTGTCCAAGTAGAGATTCTAGCGCTTGTGAGTCAAAGGTCACCTGAACAGAGAAATATGATGTATCACCGAATGCGATTGAACAAGAGCTCTTTGAATGCTTACGCTGAAAAGACTGAGGTCTTCTTTGCGGTGCTTCAAACGCAAATCGACTTCGGAACGTGCAAAAGCTCCAGATCTCGACTCAGCCAAAGAGGAGGAGTAAATAGTATAACCAGCGAATTCTTAAAAGGAAAATACCTGAAAAATTTCCTCTGGTATTAGTAATAGAAACAAACCTGCAATTTTTCGCCAATCCCTGAAAGAATTAGCGGTGAGAGCTCGTTGTGCGTAATTAGGTCGAAACACTTTGAATTTTCGCATGCCATGCCAAAATTCTTCTTTCTAAATATGAGGAGAATCTCCAATCCACCGATGCAAATTTAGTATATTCATTTGAATCTTTAGACGTCATTTTTACTTCGAAAA